ATCTACGAGTTCTTCCTATGTTCCTACTGGCTGCTAACATAAAGGGCCCTTGAGCTGCATACAAACCCACTACCTGGAAAGCTCTGAATGCCTGAATGTTTAAGGTGACAAAGCTTTGGGATGTGAGACTGTGGGCTTCTCCCTCCTAAGATGAAGAACAAGAGGAGAAAAGGAATAGTAATGGTGCAATATATGCTTTGTTCACTGCTATCTCCCCAGTGTCCAGCATAGTATCTGCCACAAACGAAGTGCTTGGTAAACAACTCTCATCTGAAAAATGGATCCCATTTCTTTGGGAAGAAATAGAAAAGTCAGGACAGGGATAGGAGAGTCAGGAGAGGTGAAGAGTGCTATGTTCTGACAGAAAAGGGGCTGTAAGGGAGAGAATATGGAATTCAGGTGGTTTGATTCAAAGACTATGATCATACTTAGACCACATAATCTATGAACCGTGAATAGCAAAAGAATCAGCTAAGACATATGTCCCTAAAAAGTATTTGGGCCCAGCTGCTGCATCGTTTCCTGGAAGGTGGAAACCACACAAAGGATTAGGGACTGAATCTGGTTCCCCGGCCAACCTGAACATGTTGGCTGTAGTTGTAATCCTAGCTAATTGGGAGGCTGGGGCAGGAGGATAATGGTACTAGAGACCCTGTGAAAAACACTCTATCTGTCTCCTTCTCTCTCTCCCTCTCCTCCTTCTTCTCTCTCCTATAAAAGAAAAAGAAAATCCTACTAGTTACTAGATCACATGGGCTAAAATTAGTTCTGTTCTATAGAACATTGCATGAAATGCTGATTTTACAGGAACTGGTTTTACAGGTGTTATGGGACAAAACTGTACTTCATTAGATACATATGGAACACCCGGAGTTTAACCAAGTTAAAATAGGTTTCTTGGAGCTGGCAGGTGGTGTGTTTAAGGGCACTGGACTCCCACATGGCCAACCATTGTTTGAATCTCAGACCGGGTGGCTTGCTTTCTCTCTCTCTCTCTCTCTGTGTGTGTGTGTGTGTGTGTGTCCCTCTCTAGTCATGTGTTTTTTTGTCCCTTGCTAGTCAAAGTAAAACAAGTAAATAAAGTTAAATAAAAATAACTCTTTAAAAATATTTTTTAAAAATAAAATAAATAATTCTTTTAAAAAATAAGTTTCTTTACATCAGGACTTCTGAGTACTTCCAGTATAAGTATGCATTTAAAATATCTCAAAAAGAATGCATCATGGAGAATCCGAGCAAGAAATTATCAAGGAATCTTTTCCTCAGAGCATTGCACAGGATTATGTTTCATGAGATAGACTTTGTGAAATAATGCTTTCATTAACCTTGCAAAAAACCCTGATTTTTTTTTTTTTAATTTGCCAGAGGGTGCATGCATTCTCTGGAGACAGAGATAGCAAGAGAAGGAGAGGGAGAAAGCACTCCCCAAGTGGGAGTGGTCATGCTGTAATCCCTTCTCTGAAAGGATCCCATCCTGTCAGGTTTGGGGCATACAAGCACAGGTTTTTCAAGTCACTGGGGCTGGGATTCAAACTGTTCAGTCAGTTACATGGGATCTGGCTCTCTTAACCACTAGGCCACAGGGCCTGCCCCAAATTCTGATCTTTAGATGTTTCCTAGTTCAGATGATCTATGGATAAGATATAGCTGCTAAGCAACTATTTTGGTTGATATTTTTAATAACTATTTTTTTTTGTTATTATTGTAATAGGGCATGTGCACTCACCAGAGACAAAGAGGGAAAGTGAGAAATAACCCAGGGGGGATGGTCACATTGCAGTCTTCACCATTCTCCTCTTGGGTCTTTGGGCACACATGCACACATGCCCAGTGTGATTTTCAAGCCACCCGGTCTGGGCTCAAACTACACAATCGGCCATGTGGGATCCAGTGCCTTAGCCTCCACGCCATATACCTGCCCTAACTAGTCTACTATTAATCTATGCTTACACACAGTACAGGCGGCACTAAAAGACAGCCATATAATATCTCTTAAATAGTCCTAGTAATCAGTACTTAGCATATTACAAAGTACTAAAAGCATTAGAAATAGCTTAGTTATCTGGAATTTTCTTTCCAACTATTAAGTACCTTCAATAATTTCCTTTATTTTAGTCTACTATACAGAAGATCCCAATAAATATTTCATCCATTTATTCAAAATTATTTTTTGATTGCCTTTTGAGGGACAAGTACTAGACCCGGTGGCTTAAACTCATGCCAGGCGTGTGTACGTGCGTGCCCAAGATCCGAAGAGCAGAATGGAGGAGAAGGGATTGCAGCATGGCCATCCCCCAGCCCCCACCCCCGGGGAGATGATTTCTTGCTTTCTGTCTGTTTTTCTGGCAAGTGCATATGCCCTATAGTAATAACCTCTCCAAATAAATAAATAAATATAAATAATTTAAGATGTCTGCTAGAGTAATGCTATAAGCCATCAGTGACACTGAAGCTACTAAAATTTCAGTCATTTAATAAATACTAACAGCCAAGTCAAAACAATAGTAAGTACGTTAAGTTATTTTGTACATAATTATTAATGGTATTTTAAAAAATTCTCTAGAAAACATATTTTTAAAAATAATGATTTAATTCCATTTGTTATTATTATTTTTTAATTTGACCAGACAGAGACAGGGAGAGAGAGAAAGGGAAAGCGAGAAAGGAAGCTGCCAGGTCTGGGACTCAAACCGCAGTCAGCCATCTGGGAATCCAGTGTCCTTAACCACAATGTCACCTGATGGCCCTGAAAATGATTTCTTTTTAATGCTCTTAGTCATGTAACTAGGAATAAAATATAGTTCTTTAACTGATTCTTCTGTGCTGTTTTTCTTCACTCCAATCACTGTTAGTGTAGAATGCCTCTTTTATTTTACTAGCAATTAAATCAATTCTTGGACTCTGGTCAGCTGACCTGTTTCTGCCCTGACCAAGGCTTATCAATTGTACTTGTTTTAAAATTCCATCTTGGGGCCAGTTGGTGGCAAAGCAATAACTCAATGCTGGACCCGCACGGGGACGGCCCCAGGTTTGCCTCCTGAGGTCTCCCCATGCAGGTTGGGTAGACACATGCAATCTAGGCTGACTGAAACTTTGGATGAGTCCTGGTGGGAGGGCTGTTTTAGGGGTGCTTGTCTGTCTCAATAAATAAACGTAACCCCCTCCATCTATTATCTGATCTTACTGATACTTGTTTGACATACTGCCCATTCTAGCCTTCCACTGCCAGTTCCCAAAGCACTCAAGGAACTTGAATAACAAAGGGAGACGCTCTGCATACACAAACTATAGAAAATAAATAGAAGGTGGGAGGGGACAGATTTAACAATAGGCCTTTTTAGAAACAACATGATGATAGTAACTAAGAATAGATTTTACTTAATGTTTGAAAATTTAAATAATTCTAGAAATTATACTTTTAAGAAATAAAGGCCGCGTCTAATTAAATTCTATGTTAACTAATCATAACCAAGTCCAAAACATTAGCTGTTTAACCATAAATACAGCATAAAACAACTCAATAACTAGGGTACATTCTTGAGACTAAAATTACGAAGAAATTCAGCAGTGTTAAAAATAAGCTCACTTGCAAACAATTATCACTTTCTTCCTTTCCTCTCTATCTGTACTTAGCATATTTCCTTCAGCTGTTGTCTTAGAGAAAAAATAACAACTCTTCATGAATAGAAGAGTGAAAAAATGAGGGACCAGCAGTTGGCATAATGGCTATGTCTCTGGACTCCCATGTAGTCCACCGCGGTTCAAGTCCTGGATCTGGTGGCTTAAACTCACGCCGGGCGTGTGTACATGTGTGCCCAAGATCCCAAGAGGAGAATGGAGGAGAAAGGATTGCGGCAAGGCCATGCCCCCTGGGAGGTGATTTCTCGCTTTCTTTCTCTCAAGGTGAGCGCACACACCATGTAGCAAAAAAAAAAAAAAAAAACCAAAAAAAAACAAAAAAAAAACTCTCCAAAAAAAAAAAAAAAGAGTGAATAAATACCTAAAATAAGACATACATTCAATATAAAACTCACCAGTGCTAATGTGCAATTCTGAAAGAAACTTAAAAAATGTTTTAAAAGAATTATTTTAGGGACCAGCAGTTGGCGTAATGGCTGTTGCTGGACTCCCACATAGTTAACAATGGTTCGAGTCCCGGACCCGGTGGCTTAAACTCACACCAGGTGTGTGTGCATGTGAGTCCAAGATTCCAAGAGGAGAATGAAGGAGAAGTGATTGCGGCGTGGCCATCCCCCCTGGGGGGTGATCTCCTTCCTTTCTGTCTCTCTGCCTCTCTCTGTCTTTCTGGCGAGCATATGCACCCCATTAGCAAAAACCTCTCCAAAATAAAAGGAATTATTTTATTTAACTTTATTTATTTATTTTAATTTGACCAGAGAGGGACAGAGTGAGAGAAAGAGAGAGCAAGTGAGAAAGCAAGTCGTGAGATCCAGCACTTGAACCACAGTTGCTATATGGGAGTCCAGTGCCCTTAACCACCATACCACCTGCAGGACCCAAGAAAATTAAAAAAAAATTTAAAAGCCCTAATATGCCTGTGCTGATCGAGATCATATAATACATTTTTTCTGAAAGTTCACTGGCCATTTTTTCCCATCAAAGCTGTTTGTTCATATCTTTTATTCATTAATCTACTGTATGCTTTACTTACCAATTTATATGAGCTCTATGTGATATGGTCATGATCCTTCTCTGTTGAGAATATTTTCACCCATCTTTGTTTTCTCCTTTTTCCCTTGTGGTTGCAAGTTTGCTTTTAGCCTTATTATTCTCTTCTTCCCCTCCCCCCAGGTTTTTGCCATAAAGTTATGTAAACACTAGAGTCAAAGAGAGGGAAAGATACCTGCACTGCAATCCCTTCTCCTCCATTCTCCTCTTGGAATTTTGGGCATACAGGCACACACACCTGACATACCAGGTCTGGGACTCAAACCACGATTGACCATGTGGGAATCTGGTGCCTTAACCACCATGCCACCTGCTGACCCGCTCTCTTTATTCTTAGTGACAATTTCATTATGTTCAGTATATGACATAATAGTAAATACCAAATTTGGGAATTCTGTTTTTTCTACAAATGAGAATCAGTGGAGTGATATAGTTCTGCTAAGGTTTCCAGCAAAATAGAAGATGCTTCAGTTTTAGTATGTCACTTAGGAAGGGTCACATAGGAAGGACAGTTCAGAAACATTCAGAAACAACTGTATTATTTTCCAATGATTTAAGAACTGTTAAAAATGATGAGCCTTGTGTAAGCCATGAAATAACACTGTTGTCTTAGGAGGTAAAAAATTAGTAAATGCATTGTAGGTTACTCAATAAATTGTTCAAACATAAAAAGTATTAAAATGCAAAACAATTTATAGCCAGAAAATACAAATATTACTCTAAAAAAGAAAGTTATAAAATGTTCTTAAAATTTTACTTTAAGGTGATTTAATGAAAGTATAAAACAGAGTTAGGATTAGGTTTCTATTTCATGAATATTCAAAACACATGATTCCCCAACTTGTTCAAAATAATTTCTCTTTTCAAGAATATGCATTAAAAAAAAGATCATAGTAAGACAAAGAATATGAAAATAATGGCGTAGTGAAAAAACAAAAATTAAAACTAGAAAGCTAAACTTTCCCAATAAATGATCACTATATTGGTACAATAACTATAAATTTATATTAGGTATTAAAAAATGTGACAAAAACCCGAATTTACATAATGAAGTACTAATAGGTGTCTATATTATAAAATAGCTGGTTTATAAAAGGATTCAACAGAGATTTCTAAATGGTCAGTTTCCTCAGTCTATCTGACTAAGATTGTAAATATACTATATAAAATTTAATATCTCTTTGAGACAGTGATCCAAGCTTCTTCTCTTGATGATGTTACCAGTTCAAACTTTGTTTCAATAACTTGTCCCTCTACAGAAAACAGGTGCAGTCTCTTCACCAAAACACTCAAAAGTACTGTGGTCACCATGTATGCAAACCTAGTCAGGAAGAAAGTCAATGAGTTACCAATGATTAAATTTTATACTTTTTAAGATAGTTATATTTTATTTAATTTATTACTATTATTTTTAATTTGCTATACGGCATATATGCTCATGAGAGAGATGAGAGAGAAAGAGAGAAAGTGAGAGAGTAACCTGCTCTGAGACTCGCTCGAACTGTAATTGACCATGTGGGAGTCCAGCACCTTAACCATTATGTCACCTGCTGGCCCCTAAATTTAATACTTTTTTTTTTAGAGGTTTTTGCTATAGGTTGCATGCACTTGCTAGAGAGACAGAGACAGAAAATGAGAAATCATGCGCTAGGAAGGATGGCTATACCACAATCCCATCTCCATTATCCTTTTGGGATCTTTGGCATGCATACACATGTGCCTAGCATGACTTTTAAGCCACCAGGTCTGGGACTCGAACCACGGTTAACCACATGGGAGTCCAGTGAAACAACCATTACACGACCTGCTGGTCCCTAAATTTTTTTTTTTTTTCCATATAGCATGTGTACTCACCAGGGAGAGATCAAGAGAGGGAAAGGGAAAGTAAAAAAGCATCCATGGTGGATGGCCACACCGCAATCCCTTCTCTTCCATTTCTCCCTCTTTTAGGACTTAGAGCACACATGCACCCAGCCAGGTCCAGGACTCGAACTGTACAACTGGCCTTGTTGGATCCAGCTGCCCTAACCTCCATGCCACTGGTAGACCCAAAATTTATACTTTAATTATACAGATTGTTCATGTCATCAACAGGGATTATCAACATTCAAAGTATAGAGTCTGGCAACTTTTCCTTTTATATAACTTTCTGTTTCATTCACCTCAACTCTGGACATTCCTGTTTGCCTGAGAATCCCAGCAAGGAGAAAGTTTTCATTACTGATTCATCATCAAACCGGTCTGGATCAAACCTAAAAAGAAAAATCAGGGTTAATCACAATATATCTCCACTGGCATTTTACATACTGACACTAAAAGAACACAGGTATATGTATAATACAATTTGCTGAAAACTTTAAAAGTTGGAAAATAGAAGCACTGCCACATTATATTTAAGTGTTAATTATTATGTTCTGAAATTATAACAAATATTTATTCTCTTGCCATACTTTATTTCTAAAAAATAACTGCAAAATACAATTCTCAGAACTAGCAAGAAATGGGATTGTAACATGGGTTATGTCATTTTAAGAGAGTAAGAACAAATCATACAAAATCATCTAATGGATATTTAAATAAATTTAAGACCTGTTACATGAGACTACCTGATTAATACATGGGGCATTCTACTGCCTCTTCAGTTAAGATTTATTTCTTAAAACCGGATGCTCCAGCCTTACAACTGAACTTATCAATCATATTACTCTGAGATTTATTAATAAGCGAAGGAAATTAAGGGGCTAATAAAGGCTTTTTTATTTTTAAAAAATTTTACCTGTAAAGTCACTGAAGGAATGACTATATTAAAAAAAAAAAAAAAAGGCTTACCTATCATGAAACATAACAATTCCTCTCAAGAACAAACGTTTTTAAAAGAGCTAAACTCTGGGTTGGCCCCGTGGCTTGAGAGAGGCAGATCTCACATAAGTGATTGCATGGTTTGAATCCTGACCCTGGGAGCTTGAATAACCTGCCAGTCATGTGTGTATACATGTCCCAAATCCCAAAACAATGGAGAAATAGAGATGGGAGTGTGGCACGACCATGTCCCACTGAGGGGTTATTTCTACCCTCCCTGTCTCTCTGGCCAGTAAACACAATCTCCAGTAAAATAAAAAGAATAATTTTATTTTCATTTTGTTAAAAAAAAACAAAAACATGTAAATCACTGAGATAGAAGATAGGTGACACAAGCATAGTTAGGGTATAGGCTACAAGATGGAATCACCGCAACTAGCTTTCATTAAAAAATCACCCACTGGGTTGGGACCAGCAGTTAGTGTAATGGCTATGTCACTGGACTCCCATGTAGTTGACCACGGTTTGAGTCCAGAACCCAGTGGCTTAAACTCATGCCGGGTACGTGTGCCCAAGATCCCGAGAGGAGAATGGAGGAGAAGGGACTGCAGCATGGCCATGCCCCCGGGGAGTGATTTCTCGCTATCTCTCTGTCTCTCTTTCTGGTGAGTGCATGTGCCCTATAGAAAAAAAAAACTCTCAAAAAAAAAAAAAATCACCCACTGGAAATTGTTTTGTGCATGGCCTGCTCATACAAGGAACTGCTTGTAGCTCAGTTCAAAGACAGGTAGGAATGGGACCAGCAGATGGCATAATAGTTATGTTACTGGACTCCGAAGTAATCAACTGTGGTTACCGTCCTGGACCAGGTGGCTTAAACCTCACACCAGGTGCGTGAGTGTGCATGGCCAAAATCCCGAGAGGAGAATGGAGGAGAAGTGATTGCGGTATGGCTATCCCCACAGGGAGGAGGGGGTGATTTCTCACTGTCTCTGTATCTCTTTCTGTCTCTCCAGAAAGCACTTGTACCCTATAGCAAAAATCTCTCTTAAAAAAAAAAATAGGTAGGAAAACAATCACAGAACTTAATGACTTTCTTCAGGTCCTACCACATCCCAAGAACATAATGATCTTTCTGGCCCAAAGCTTTTAGATAAAGAATTGAGTAACACTTTCCCATTACAAAGGGTCTCATAACCTATGGATCACTCCAAAAATAGAAAAATAGCATGACCCACCTGGCATGTAACCTCAGCACTAGAGGAACACGTGCATGAGTTCCTCCAAAGATGGAGAGGCAGAGGAAAAGAAAAGGGAGAATGTACTCTCCATGGAGCACAGTTATACTGCAATCGCTTCTCCCCCACCTTTCCCTCCTTTGGGAATTTTTACGCACACGCACATGTATGCAGTGTGTTTTTCCACCTATTGAGTCTGGGACAAAAACCACATAGTTGGCCATGTGAGATCTGGCTGCAACTACCAGGTCACATAGCCGGCCCAACACCTCACATTTTAAAATTTCTTTCTTCCATGACTGGGAGACAAAGAGAGAGAAAGAGACAGAAAGAGAGACAGGCATCCCAAGAGGGTCTTCATGCTGCCGTCCACCCCCAGCTTCTTCCAGCCTCAGATCATGGGCATGCACGTGCCCAGTGTGTTCAGAAAGGTACCTGGACACAAACCTGGCATGTACCCACGTGGGTCAGCCTCACAGAACACTGTGTCACTGCCGCACCACCTTCCAGCCCGACACCTCACATTGTTCTTTTTTTTCCCATCCAAAATACACTGTGCATTAGCTCAATCAAGCACATCAACATACATGTTCTCAGCAAATAATTTTCCAATTCTTATATCCTGCATACCTTGCCTTTTGTTTTGCCATCCTTGATTCCCCATCCCCCACCCTCTGCTATGTCCCATCCTCCTCCCCCATTGTCCCTGGCATCCATGGGTGCCCTCCATGCCTTCCCCCCCACATTCAATTGTTCTGCCAATGAACTTAATTAGTCTAAATATATCCAATAGCTAGCACAGCTGACACATACCTATACATGAACCCAAGTCTGACTTTAGGCATAAACCCCAGTGAGTAGAATGAACATACTATAAAGTAGTACCCAGCTGTGCCCATACAGCTCGCTGCAGTCGTCAAGTATGCATTTTTTTTTTTTTACAAAATGATACGAACAGTTTTACCGTTTTCTTTTTCCTCCTGCAACATTTTTTTTTTTATATATTACCTAACATTCATTCCCTGAGCATCATCACAACATACTAAATGTGGTTTCCCATCTAGGATAAACTGCATAGTGGCTTAATCAAGCATGTTATCATCAATAATATTCCATTTCTACTTTCATACATATGTATACATATATATATGTTTTTTATACTATGTTTGACCCTCTGCCCTTTCCCCCTCTCCCATTACACTATCTCTGCTATATACAGTTGTCTTCCAGAGGAGTTATTGAAAATGTGATACATGCAAGTAAAGGGAGAGGGGCCACAAGTTTAAAGTTTTTAACAATAGGGAACATAGATTCCATTCAAGGTTGG